TATCTGGATCTTCACTTTGCCAAGATTTAATTTGTTCATCTGTGTAGGTATCTAGCCAATTACAATCGGAACAGTCTGACGATGATTGACCGGGCCGTTTTGATATTGCACTTACAATAACATTGCTCACAGCCACATCACCATTGGTACCACAATCAGAACAATCTTCTCGTTTGCATTTGCGAACTTGGCGTGACAATCCATCAGCATTGCCATGTTTCACGCCCGGTCTGTGTTCAATCTTAAAGTCATAAGCACCAAGTGTTAATATCCATCTTGCTAACATTCCTTGAGGTTCACGAAAATTGATCAACCATTTCAGAGCAGCATGATCTGTGCGAATTCTGAACGGTCTCCCGAGAAGAAAATGACTGAAGTGACGAACAGCCCACACCACAGCTAATAGTTCTCGGTGTGTAGCACAGTATCTACGTTGAGACTTGGACATAGTCTTACTGGCATAAGAAAGTACACGTTCATTGTCGTCCTGAACTTGAGATAACACTGCACCAATCCCAAAACCACTGGCATCAGTATCCAATACAAATTCGCCGATTGTCCTCGGAAAGCTAAGAATTGGGGCAGATGTCAGACAATGCTTCAAAGTTTCAAAAGCCTTTTGACATTCAGTACTCCATACAAAAGAAATATTCTTCCTGGTCAATCGAATAAGAGGTCCAGCAATTGTTGAATAATCTTGAACAAATTTCCGGTAGTAGTTCGCTGTGCCTAGAAAACTACGAATATCGCTGACAGAATTAGGCGTTTTCCATTCTTTGATAGCCGCAACATTTCCAGGGTCGCAACAGACACCTTCAGATGAAATAAGATAACCAAGATAAGAGGTGCTTCGACGGAAAAGTTTACATTTCGAGGGCTTCAAGCGTAAACCGGCACGGCGAAGTCTTATAAAAACTTCCCGAAGATTTGAGAGTGCCATTGAGAAATCACTACCATGAGCCAAAACATCATCAAGAAAATTGAAACACCCGTTCCACAGAAGATCACCAAGGATATTGTCCATCATCCGTTCGAATGTTGCGGGAGCATTCGCCAAACCGAAAGGCATCACTACAAAGTGAAAATGACCACGGCCTGGGATGCTGAAGGCTGTCTTTTCACGGTCTGCAGGATCAACCTCCACTTGCCAATATCCGCTAGCGAGATCAAGAGTTGAGAACCATTGTGCTCCGTTTAAGGACTCAATGATATCCTCAATACGCGGCAAACGATATGCGTCCTTGTATGTGACGTCATTAAGCAATCTAAAATCCACGCAAAATCTGGTAGAACCATCCTTTTTGGGAACTAGGACAATGGGAGAAGAATATGGGGAATCGCTGGGTTCTATGACACCTTGAGCCAGCATATTATCAACAGCTTCTTCGGCTATCTTCCTACGCGCCCACCCCATTCGACGAGGAGCCTGCCGAATCGGCTGTGGTGTGGTTGTGATGATCCTATGCTTTGCTGCTGAAGTACGGCCTAGTTCACCATCTGGCCCTACAAATACATCATGAAATTCACAAATCAAATTGACCAACTCTTCACGTTGACTCGGGGTTAGATCCTCAACGGAATTGACCATGTCATGTAGATGTTCTGGTAATTCAGAAGCTATAACCCGATTATCGGATTCGTCAACTTGAATTTGTGCTACAAGTTGAGGATGTGCAATACCAAGCAAAGATCCAGCCCTGATCTTAAGTTGTCTGCCTTTTTGGTTCACCGCTAGAACAGGAACAGTGGACTTTCCTGGATCCACAACAGAAGAGATCAGCTGAATGCCATCAGCGAGGAAAGAAGAATTCAGCGGTTCAACAAGAGCAGCGACGTCAGACAAATTGCTTTTCGGCCAAGGACGACTAAGTTGTGCAGGGATAACAACCTTAGAATATGGCGGTATCGTAATATCTTCTCGAACAGTTACACGACAACACGGTACAGACTTTTCAGTGAACAGTTTGATTTCATGACCCTCCATCATCATGTGTCCAGATGATAAGTAAAGAACGCAATCATGTTCTCGGAGATAGTCCATGCCCAAAATACCATTAGACATACCTAGGTTGGCAACAACAACAGTGCGTCGCGATGCAAAAGAATCAATAGACAAATCAACTTCCAAAGTACCCAGTGGTAATAAATCATGTCCTCCCACTGCAACAAGAGATTCTTCGAGCGGTGCTAAATGTGCTTCTTTCCCACCTATAGCCTCAAAGATGGAAATGTCGATCAGAGTAGTCATAGCACCACTATCTACAAGAAAATTGAACGGTTGATTGTTTACAAGTACCTTCGCATGCCAACTATTGTCATATTGCAAGGAACAAATATTCAGGTCTATATTCTGGTTCGTTGGTCCGTCATCAAGTAATAATTCAGCGGACACTGAGGACCTCAAGCCCGCTGAGTGTCGTTTAAATTTGCGGTCGAAGAGGAAGCAGCTGTTGCAGGATCAGCGGGATTCTGAAGATGTGGACAATCCCGTTTAAGATGACCAGTCTGCTTGCAATTAAAACATGCCTTGCAATCCCTGCCCCAATGACCATGTTTACCACATCGAGGACACGGGTTGCGTGGTACACCATCAAAATTGCGATTGTTGGCACGCGGTTTAACATATCCTATAATCTCATCCAGTTTCTGTACAAGTAACTTGATACTGTCTTCAAGAGAAAAGTCGCTTTGCTGATTAACTACATTACCAGTATTGCTCTGTTTCACTGATGCAATGCGCGGTTTAGACATGTTCTTTCCCTCGGAGTGGTTATTATCAACAGAGTAATACAGTGTCGCAAGAGACAAAGCCTTTTCGAAAGTATCAGGCTGTTGCATGGTAACATGCTTGATCATGCTTTCATCGGTTAGACCGGCAAGAAATTGCGATTTCAAAATATCATCTTGACCAGTAATATCCAGATTTGGGTAGGCAAGAATAACAAGCTCTTTCAACTTATTACCGTAATCCCGTGGCGCTTCATTTGGCTTAATCCTACGACAGTGAAATGTAGTACGGTAGGAGCTCTCATTTCCGGCAGGTTTGAAGAAATGATTGAAATGAGCGACAATATCACGATAGCTAGTACGTTTCATATCTGGTAAATCTTTCAACACATTTAGAGCTTGACCCGTCATGCAAGTAGCCAATTCTAATCCTGCAGTGTCGTCATCCCACTGATTATAACTGGTAACCAATTCAAAATGGCATAAATAACTGGGCCACGTCATGACAGTGGATCCATCGAAATACATTGGCTTTTTGGCATTTCTTGCCATCATCGTAGCATTAGCTGTGCTATTGAGAACACTACGACTAACATTGGCATTTGAGACACTACTAGCGCTCACTGGAGGAGCTGATTGTGTAGCCACTGTAACCATTTTCGGCCTAGTACTAAGTTGCCTTCTGACATTTGTGCCCTCATTACCATTATCATCCAAAAAAGGAATTGTAGGTGCAAGGTTACTCACATGATCATTTTCCAAAAAATTTCACTTCTAATGTCTGCGAGAACGCATTCCGCTTCCCTTCTGGCTGTCCATCTTCTGATCCAAAATCAGAAATTTCCTCATGCTTGAGAACAGGTGCTGCTTTTGGAACAACTGTTGCTGGTGTTGAAGTGATCAGGCTGACATTTGGGTCATGTGACATGGGCTGGGTTTCCTCAGGATCAGCAATTTTTCCTTTATTAACCACGCCAGAAATATCTTGCAGAATGCTGTACATCTGCTCAAATGACGAGCCCATTTTTGTATTTTGGAATTCAACTGATTCTAGTTGACTTCCAATCTGTTGTACACAACCGTCCATCTGTTGCATGCGACTGTCTATCAGTTGCAAACGGCTGTCAGTCTCCTCTTGCTTTTCCTCTGACTCCCTCAATTTTGCCTTCAATACCTGTATTTGCAGATGCAAAAGTTCATTCTCCTCTTTGGCTTGCTTTGGTGCCGGTACAATCTTTCTTCTCTTAACCATTTTTCCAAAATATCAGGCAACCGCAATTAAAAAAAAAATTCGGCAACCTCAAATGACCAATATTGTCCATATATTATCCGTCACAGACTAGCCTACTTAATCGGCTTAGTCTTAATAGTCCCTGTGTCAAATAATATATCCTGGCGTGCTCGCCAAAAATTCGTATATGTGGCGTACCAAAATTGATATCACCACTCAGGTTCTTTCTGCCAGCTTATCGGACACTGAAGTTGCAATAGATGTCGTTCACAAAACAAATCTTCTTGCGGTTCCAATCACAGCAGAGTAACTAAGTTAACTAACTAGATTAATTATACACCTGTAAGAACTTAATACAACCAAATACTCCAATAAGAAATACAATAAACAAATAAAAACACAGTACAAATACCGTAGGATACATACGTAACCCAAGATACGGAATTGGTCTATGACGTCACAGTCATGAACTATTTACTTATAATGGGATTTGAAAAACCGGGTAAAACATACCTAGATACACATAAGAATAACTAGTATGACACTAAAGATACAACACAAATCCTATCTTACCGACAAACACGTAATATACATGGAAATACGCATAGAAATATGGAAATCACACAGGAAATAAACTGCGAAAATAGACTAGTTACGGAAGTGTTAAATACAAGCTAACTAGTGAACAGAGCTATGCCAAACTGGAGAAATAGTAAACCTGCACTACTAATATCATTTTACAACAAGAATTACATAGATTTACGGCATTAAAACACTATAATAATAACCTAATATACAGAGGAATATCTACACTGCCGGCAGTCTGACAAACCAGCTACAAGAGAAAGTTACACAGTTGTTCACTAGTGACTCAAGTGGTAAGAATAAATATGGGCGTACAGAATAAAACAGAGTTATAGACGTGGTCGTCTCAGTTGCCATACATTACATCCCTTATTCTTTCAGTAGAAACATATAAAAAGAACACAAAACAACGAAACTTGCATGCACAATGCTATTAAAGATTAAGCCTATTTGGAGGATGTATGAGGATGACCTTGAAATTTACCACCCAAAAGATTTCGAGGCAGAAAAGAGAAGAATTCGAGAGGAAGAGGCCAAAAGGCACACAGGTACGAGTGTTGAGACGTACTTTAAACGATTTCAGTCGGAATCTGGAGAAACAAACCGCGATCGTAAATTACAGCTCAGCGTAGAAGAAGCTTTTTCAAGATCGAAATTGTGGGACATAAACAGCTCTGAAGCCAAGGTTTTACACCGACTAATTGGAGAAATGATAGCAACGGACTGTCAGCCGTTCTCAATAGTTGAAGACGTGGGCTTTAAACGTTTAATGGGCCATACAAAACCCAGGTACAATATCCCTAGTCGCAAATATTTTTCTGAAACTGTGATTCCGTCAATCTATAAATCTGTTCGAGAGAAAGTTCAAATGATCATCCAGCATGCAGAAAATATAAGTTTTACCAGCGATATATGGACAAGTATAAACAACACGCCGTTTCTAAGCATTACTGCCCATACGATCGATGAACATTTTCAAGATAACGTCATTGTGCTACGCACAATTCATTTTCCGGATTCTCACACTTCTGCAAATATCACAAATATTATCTATCAGGTATTACATGAATTCCACATTCCCAGCTATAAAGTTCACGTGTTTGCGCGAGACAACGGATCAAATATGGTGAGAGGTATAGCGGACACGGGCTATGATGCTCTGCCTTGTTTCCTGCATACGCTGCAACTAGTCCTTAAGGATTCTATTTTGGAGCAAGATGTAATTAAAGAATTGCTTGAACAATGCAAAAGAATCGTTAGTCACTTCAGTCATTCAGCGCTGGCTGCGGTCAAATGATGCATTCTTTGATTTTTGCTTCTTGTCCGAATAACTGAAATTTGATTGACGATAAGGATTTTGTGCAATTCTGGAGACTGAAGAATCCTCTTCATCTCGTACTATACGTATTTGCTTTTGTGCAAGTTCATACGGATGACCAATTTCCAAAGCTTTTGCTAGTGTTAGATCTTCTCCTTTATCTAAAAGTCTTTCTTGCAGTTTTTTCTCATGCACACCATCAATAATACAGTCAATTAGAATATCATCTGAATCAGCATATTCACAATCCATTAGAATGATTTTCAAATCTTTAACAAAGTTGTCCAACGATTCTGATGAGCCTTGTTTACGTCGCAACAATTTATGTCGATTAATTCTTTTGTTCTTTCGGGGTCTCACATATTTCTCAAATTTAGCCAAAACAGCAAAAGGATCTTTTTTCCAAGTTAGAGTTTTGTAGATTTCTGTTCCTTAATGCCCTATCCATGTTCCAAGCCATCCGGCTTTCTCGGCTGCAGGCAATTTGGCTAACGGTCCATCAAAAATAAACTGAACATGGGTTTTGAATCTGCAAAATTCTTGGTACAGATCATGACCATTCCAGTCAATCATTGGATGATCAAAGTTATTTGACATTGACATCTCGGATTCAGTTGCAGATAAACAGATTTGAGTTTAATTCAGACTCGACGGTTTTTTCAGTTTTAACAGATTTCAGACTTCTTCCAGTCTTCTGACACCATGTTATGTTCTGCTACGTTGTGCACTTATATTATATCTGGCTACTTCTAATAGCACTGCCAGACTGATTTACGATTCAGTATGTTGTATTGCAGAAACTTGTATTTGTTATTCAAAACATTACACACAGATTATTTGGATACAGAAGCACACACGACGCTAGCTGAACATAGAAACTGCTAGTCAACCCTAGGATGACCTTTAAGCCTAACTGATAGTTGCCATACATTACAGTGGGGTTTTTACCGAGAACTTGTATGTTTTAGGCTTCGGAAACAAAAGTTAACCGTGTCGCCGATGTAATGAGTCGTGATCAACTGGAAAGATAAAAAAAAAAGATGCCCCATTTCCAGTGGCGGCGCGTCAATAGGGCCAACCGGGGCAATGTCCCGGTTGTTTTTTCGGTATAATAAAAAATATTCGAAAAATACCTCAATATCGGTTGCACAGACTGTCTACACTAGCCATATTCTCCCGACATGGTTCATTTTTCGCTCGCAAAGCCTTCGCCGAACGTCGACGGGGCGACGCCGATTTTGCCCCGGTTGCTCATTGTATATCGTATTCTCTCTTTTATCGTCCACTCGCCGCGTTTGTCTCGTTTGTTTTCTGTTTCTTTTACTAAATCATCGGGGCTAGCCCCGAAATTATGACGACACAATGCCGACGTTTCTTACAACAACGTGTTGACATATTCACGCATTCCTTCTCGTTCGTTGGTTGCTTGAAGAGTTGATAGTTTCATCGCCTTTGTTTTTGTCGCTTGTTTCGCTATTTGAATCAGTTAGAGACCTTTAGTCCATTTGCTTTCGATTTTCCACATTCCTTTTGAGCTCCTCACTTCTTTCCGGCTTCGCATTTCTTAGCCTTAGACCTCATAATGAATAAGGTTGATGCACTACTTCGCACTCCGTTTTTGCAGCTGCCGCTGGAACAAAAATTAGAGGTACAACGTCTTGGGCCTTATCAACCAAACAATTGTTCACTGGAACAATCCCATGACGGAGGAAAGCGTCGGCGTACATTCTGCGCAGAAACTTGGTATAAAAAACACGAAGGCCGCTTGTAAAAATCGGTTACGATATATTTTAACCGTTAACTGACGTTTCAGATACAAATCATCTTTGTAATGTGCAATTTCTTCAAAAATGATTATGTCATCGCAAATTTATCTCCTGTGGCGTTCAATTCAAAGAATATCACTAACTGTATTGGTAAGGACCCAATAAATGTGAAAAATAATTTGAATAGTGGAGTAAGATTGCTGAATATGAATTCGACAATGATAAATTCAGAATCAGTTTTCGGTCAAAATATATTGTTCACGATTTTATTGCAAAGTCGTATGTTCAATGCCATCCAACAAGTGCGCAGTTGATGCTGTTTTTCTTTATGATAGCTCGAAGTAGAATTTGCACTGAAAATTTACGAAACAGCGTTGCAAAACATCACATAACGGTGGTGACTCGTCCTTTTATGGTTGTTTTTTTATAACCGGTGCATGGGAGGCGTGGACTTGTTAGATGTGCTTATAGTCTACTGTAGAATAAGCATCAGGTCAAACAAGTAGGCTACTACCTGAGAATCTTCTTCCATCTAGTTGATTGATAAAACTAATATAAACAGCTGGATTCTATATATAAGGAATTATGAGCCCCCGAGAGTTACGAGTAACAAACAACGAGATATTTTGTCGTTTCGAAGTTGAATCTCTTTTTAAGCTTGGCAAAGCATCGACAATGGTAGACCATTGCCTACTACCTCACCAGAACCTCGAATCCTGAACACAGCTACTCCAAACCCCAGCAACGAGGTTCGAACGGCCTGCGGTAAAAGCTAAAAACAGCCATCTCGTTTCCCTGGATTTGGTAGCAATCTGTTAAGCAGACGCACCAAATGCGGAGTTTCTATGCTTGATAAAGTCGAAAATTGCTTTGCATGATACCATAGCGCATATTTAATGATCAATAGTACGCACTACTGAACATTCTCTGTCGTCCGGTTTCGTTTATTTTGGATTGACTTAGCTTAATTTCCATTTGTATCTTTCGCAATACGCGTCGATATTGACAAAATGAATGTGTTGCATGGACAAGTATATCAATTTTGTGACAATATTTTCCCCTGTGTTGGGGGTCTGATCGAAAAAATAAGTTTAAATTCTTAATCTATGGCATTTAATTACCAAATAAACAAAACAGCGATTTTCTTTCTCCCATTGATCATAAATTTGGAATTAAGTGGACAATGTAGCTTACGTAGCGACATACCCATACATTTTCTGAAATGAGGGAACGAACGTTTTGTCAGTCAATTCGATACAAGAGAGAACCTGTTTTTAAAATTTTGGATTCCAGCACTGAATATTACACGGTATCGACCCGATAAATTTTGAAGTTGACATGAAAAATGTTCACCAAAGTGTGAAATAAATATAATTTGCTATTAATCTTAGTGTATGAAACATAGTCAAGATATCTCACATAATGTTGTCAATTATTAGGTTCTGAATGTATCGATACCGCCAGTCAAGTATCGTCAACACGAAAGCGAGCTGCCGGTCCATTTTTTCTATGTACAATAGGGGATAGTTATGTGCCAGGGGACTTCTACATTTCTTTGTCGCCGTGGGTTGTTTCATGTAAGCACTGGTCAGTAACAGCTTCCGCCACCATCAAGATTCCTGGTTCGCCACCTGATTAAGCCGTCTTGAAAGCAGCTTTTTATACATTATTTGCTGAGTGTGTGAGCTGAAAATGCTACATAAAAATAATTTCCGTGATAAAAATAAATTTTGTGTGGAAATATAGCTTGCCATGAAACGTAAAATTTTTTAAAATATTTGTTGCAATGACTTTTAAAAAAGTTCCTTTTGAATTCACTTGGTGTAGCTCCGAAACATATTTAATATTTATTCTTAGTCTCCAGTAAAGTTTGCTTAGATCATTACAAGAAAAGCTCGCTGATATCGAACGTATTAGTGTATTGAGGTTTTGTAATACAAGACGCGCCGACCTCCACAGCCTCACTCGAGTTTCCTTTGTTAACTGGCATGACTTCCCTTTACGCTTTATTAGTCGCCTTGTTGAAATGGCGGGGTTTTGTTTGCGGGTGGGTATTGGATGACTCAATAATATTTTGTTATTGTGAAATTATGGATATGTATTGCTTGTACAAAAGAGATCGGAAGAGATTTAATTTTCATGAGCAATGCTAACGTTAAAACAAAAATTTTATGGTATAGTTTAGAGTACATGAGACAAATATATTTTTTAACCACACTGCGATCTGGTACAATTCTTTGACCATAATAGAAAGAACAGGGCTCAGTATAGAAAAAAAATATACAGCACAGAACAGACATGAAATCATATGTCCTATGAGACCAAAAATTATATTTATATATGCTTGACATATGAAATTTAAAATATTTAATAATGGTAACATTGTTCGCTATTTACGAAACAGTCGACGAATTAAGCTCTTCGTATTCTGCATTCAACTAAAATACAATTCAAGTAAAAAGTGCCAATTTAAAAGGCTTTCTTTTATACCGCACCCTAATTTTATATTCATATTTTTTAGCGATGGTTTGAGGCCATGAATTTATTATGTGCTTTACTAGATATCGTCGAAATGATCAAAGACTTTGAGTGGAAATGCAGTAAAATGGGTGAGCTGAATTCAATATTTGCCTTTTATTACACCCAATGTCATGTTCGACGGACCAGGAGGATTCCGGTTCTTCCAATATATAATAGCGCTTTACATATTGGCTGAAACTTTTACATAACCTTGCTCGCAAAGGAATGCGTGAAAATGGCGTCGTTTGAAAAAAATACCTAAATTAAGGCATCGGTGATATAGGCCTATATTATGTCAATTTATGAACTATTTAATTCCGTAAAAATCATTTTATTTTTGACCCGAGAATTTTTATTGCACCAAATGCTTGTGTGCAATATTTTATCACTTCTAAACGTTACATAAGGCCGACTCCTATTTTGCTGCGTAAAAAATAAAAGTATCTTCAATGCAAGACCTCTATGAACTCTTCAGACTTTAAGGTTATCACACAACATCTGATTTTATTTCCGAAATACCGCATGTTTGCTCATCGGAAGTGAGGAAGTTGTACAAATAACTTACTTATCATGTTTTATTTTATTTGCAGGTTCATTAAGGATATGTTTTGTTTGCACAATTATTGCGTTGGGTTGGGTATCGTCCACTATGTTTTTGTATTTCGTCTTTTCCCCGTTTGCAAATGATAAAAAAATCATTGTGATATGTATCTTAATATTGATCAGCATCGTTTGTTTTTTGGTCGGACCATTGGTACTATTTGAGGTGGATCAGAAAATAAAACTTCATCTTTGTTCGGGTATAAAAAGGTCGAATCAAGCGAAAGACTATCAAGTCATCGATACCTAGACGCTGAGTTACATCAGCAAATACAGACTCTGATCTATAGACTAAAAACTGACTCTGTCAACTTTGAAAGTATTCTGGTGGACTGACATTGGACAACGTTGTTGGTATTTATTGATTAGGGCTTAGGAGTAACAAAATATTTGTCAATCGACCGCGATTTAAGAAAAATTTGAACCCCGACACACGACTTGCGATTGTAAAATACTTCATCTCCCATTCCATTCCGAACGAGTGGAAATCTATTTTGATAAGAAATATTTAGTAAACTGTTATGACGTTAGCAAAATTGATGCCTTTTTGAGGTTTGGTATGAAATTTTGTCTTTATTCAAAGTTTGTAATCTGACTCCAGTGAATACAGAATCCCGACTCTGTAGAGCCTAAATTAGAACTGCGACTTCAGTGAAAACATATCACTCCGCCTAAAAGAGCCTACTTACAGCTGATAATAAAATCTACCCAGTTTTTCAATCCTGTTTTCGATTACTGCAAAATCTTGTCAGGGCGGCTGTTCAAATTATATTTGAAACGTCACTCTTTACTTTTTTAGATTAGACATTGTCAGGGAAATAAACAAGGAAGTCAAGTTTTGACTTTGCTATCGTAAGATTTTTTGTTTATTCTCCATTCATTTTATGTGTTTATTATATGTAGTAACTATTGACATAATTTGTTAAGCACTTGACGGTTGAGCACTTTGCTATGCCCACGTTTCCCAAGCGGGGAGGATTACTCCGCAAGAAGAAATTTCGATGTTCATGGGGATGAATTTTGCTTTGTATTTGTGTTGTATTCTTTAGTTTTTTTAGTATTACTATGGTACTTATTTAGACTACTTGAACTATACAAAAGCGTAAGTGCGACTAGCTAAAGATCCATTAAAGATTCAACAAATAAAGTAGGTATTGTGCGTAGTAAGAACAAAGAGTACTAAAACAGGCGGAGGAAGGAATTTAACAAAAAGAGGTGATATAGCCACTATGCTGGCTGATAGGAAAATGGTTGTACCGCTAACTGCATTGCGTGCGTGGGTTCGAATCCAATAGTGTGTATGATATAGTTCAGGGTGGTTCAATGTTGTCGCCTCCGCGGGCCACAAAATTATTTTTGCATTGTTCGCGGGCCACAATAGTGTCAAAAATTGATAAACTGGGCAATACAAAACAAACACTTTTATTGTGCAAACAATTGATCATTGTTTGTCATTTATCAAGCTAAAACATGCAAAATACACCGGAAAATTCACTGAAACATATAGAAGTCTTTCTATATCTACGTTTACCTCAAGATTTTAAACTCTTCACAACAGAGAAAGTGCTCCCGCAGATGTAAGTGCTTTCGAACATTGATGGGGTTCTCAAAGCAAAATCCCTCACAATTTGGAAATGTTCATTGGTCCCATGATAGCAAAATGTTTTAGATTATATTTGCCATAACTGCAGATTGATTGATTATCAAATTTTACCAAATGTGTAATTTTACCATTTTTTGTAATACTGTTTAGGCTGGTTCCAAAAATTATTATAACTTTTGGAATATATTCCCAACCAAAACGATAGAGAGCCAGTGAACAATTTGGACTACCTGGGCACACTATTCAACTTCGCTAGTTGCTTCGGCTGGACGTGACACTAGTCAATTTAGTGATGTAACAAGATGTCAAAAAGATTTTCCGATTACCTTTTGACCAAACAACACCAACTGCGATTTTTCTGATTACCCGGCGCGGGCCACAGAAAAGTACGGTGCGGGCCACATGGCCTGAGTTTGGACCACCCTGATATAGTTCAAGAGAATAGCTGAATCCGGTTACGGACTACTCAACCAAGAATGTCGAGTCGAAGATTAGCTTGTTTTCACTTGTGGCGGGTTTTCGAGTTTTCAAATTATCTGTAGAAATGCCGTTTTATGTTATATTAGCCATAACTGCAGATTGATTGATTATCAAATTTTACCAAATGTGTAATTTGACCATTTTTTGTAATACTGTTTAGGCTGGTTCCAAAAATTATTATAACTTTTGGAATATATTCCCAACCAAAACGATAGAGAGCCAGTGAACAATTTGGACTACCTGGGCACACTATTCAACTTCGCTAGTTGCTTCGGCTGGACGTGACACTAGTCAATTTAGTGATGTAACAAGATGTCAAAAAGATTTTCCGATTACTTTTTGACCAAACAACACCAACTGCGATTTTTCTGATTACCCGGCGCGGGCCACAGAAAAGTACGCTGCGGGCCACATGGCCTGAGTTTGGACCACCCAGATATAGTTCAAGAGAATAGCTGAATCCGGTTACGGACTACTCAACCAAGAATGTCAAGTCGGAGTTTAGCTTGTTTTCACTTGTGGCGGGTTTTCGAGTTTTCAAATTATCTGTAGTCGAAATTTTGAAGTTCCCGGAGCCGGAATTTCATACTTTCGATGATTATAAGTCAAAATTTATTTTGGTAACTCAAAAAACAAAATGTTTACAAAGCGGTATTAACAGTTGTTTAAAAATTTGATTTCTTCACAGAGTTTCGAGGTGGAGTCGCAGTCAAAATTGTTCTTAACCCGGAGAGTCGATTGTATGTTTTACAGATATTTTCTCAACCATCTCAGATAATGCAACGATTATTTGATAACGACGCAAGTAAACAAATATAATTATACACATTATCTCTCATCTTTCCTTTGAAATATATTGAATCAATAAACTCACAAATTCTAAAGTTACATGCACGCGTATCGCTGTAGAGAGTGGCAACAGGAAATACTTTGATGAGCCAAAGATACGACGACGCGCAAACGCACGACATTATGTGTTTCATTTTCAAAAACGGATTAATTCAATTTCATAGGCGCGTGTTTGTTTTTTGTTCGTTATATAAAAAGATGACAAAAACCCCGAAACGTCACTGAATCAACACTGTTAAAATTTCTCCTCTCGGGGGCAGGATTATTTGGTTTATTCGTTGATAGCTTTCATGCTGAGTAATTTAAAAAATACCAAATCGTTACGAGATTTCAATTTTATCTTAAAACATATACGAATCCGAGAATGCCACTTAATCATCTGGCAAACTACGATCCCTCGACATGTCTTCATTTTATGTTTGGGAGGATTACAGACGTCACGTTTTGGTCTCCGGACGTTTCGTACCATAAGATTATCGAGTCCAGTCGGTCTCAACCTTTTTTTCGTGGCCCGCTTTTGTTGCATAATGAATGCTGTGGCCCATTGACTTTCTAACGCAAAGGAAAACTATAAAAAAAAATTGCAAAGATAGACTTCCACTTTATTAATTAAAAAGAGAATTACCTCCAGAGCCCAAAAGCAGCAGCATCAGTCATTGTCACAACAATCTAACTTTAACTAATTTATCAATAACTCTGGCAATTTTTAATAGGTTTGTGGTCCACCTGAAAATGTTTTCGTGGCCCATGACCCACTGGTTGAAAACTGGAGATCTAGTCCAACATAACGTTTGACAACGTAATTGGTGGTAGAAGTGGTTGCTAACTGGTGGTAACGATGGACTGGAAATATGTGTGTTAGAAAAATATTTAAAACTCAAAATGATTTGAAGAAAGCAAAGTTTGTGCAGATTCGTTTTCAGAATAATAGAGGATACCCGAATAATTCAAAGTCATATTTGTATTTTTCAACCAATAATCCTCGTACATCCGGTATGTCTTTGAAATATGTCTCAAGTTTTTCATCGTCAGTTCGTTTGTGAGGCGGATAATTTTGAGGAAATGTCATGTTGCTCATTCCAATAGTATTCATGATGAAAGGTATGTCGTCAGAAATTGTTTCTAGCTTAGCAATGAAATCGTATTTTATTGCGCATGGCAAACATAGCTTGTAGAAAAACTGCCAGTGTTCATTGTTGTCATTTGTTGAACTGACGTGAGTGGCGAATTCTTTAAAACTCAACACGGGTGAGGATTTGTCTGTCGGAACGCTTGAATTTGAATATTTCTCGTGCAATGTTTTTGCCATTCTCTTAAAAAATTCGTTTTTGGAATTTACGAATTTATTACGATACGCTGAAAGCATTCGATGTAGGGGTTCTCTGACCATGATGATTTGAACTCAGTGGCATCTGATGAATTTACAAGACCTTCTGCGGCAAGTAATACCTTCTTGAAATTTGTGCAACCAACTTTGGGGATTAGGCAAGCCAATAACTGTATTAAAAGTAAATGTTAGTTCTTCCTGTTCTATATTCTCGACTTTTATTGTAGCCACTCGCTAAAATTGGGACGATTGCTAACTCGTATTCCGGACAGATGAATGAATGCAAATCGCACTACACTTTATAATGTATATACTTCAATAATCAGGACAATACTGCTGGTTCAGTCCTATCGACAGTCAGTGAAAGAAGTTGCCCCCACTGCGTATAGTTTCTGTTGCTAAACCAACCCTGAACACGGGGCAATATTATTTCAAATCTTTTACAATATTGGATTTGGCATAGGCTGATATTGCTGGATTTAAAAAGATTCGAATCCAGAATTATTGCAAGCTCATCAGATCAACTTGGGACAAGATTGCGAACATCGCTTATACTATCTCTGAATTAATTTTATGAATCATATATTGAATTGATGCACGGTGATTAACTACTTTTCAAACAACCCTCGAAGCCCCTATAGTAGAGCCGTTTTGAAAAGAAATGTTTCTTGGAAAATGTACGTGTAAGTGCGTCCTACATAAATTAACTCAGCGTCTCGAAACTGATTTAGATCATTTACCTTATATTTGTCTGAAAAGTACAATTTCGTTTTGCTGATGAAGTTCATGAAACCTTTGTCATCTTTTGGAATGATTTTATGTAATTTCAATTTCCGACATTTAAACGTTATTTTTTTTTTAAATCGTTAAAGTATTTATTATTATCTATCAAAATACCTGGTCCAGAAAGTGGTGATTTCTTGAAATACTGTATCTTTGTGTAGAATTCATTCTGTCAAAAACATAAGAGATTTGAATTTTTCACTCTTGCTATTCTGAATATCGTCACACTAATAAACAACTTGCCATGTCACTTTTTTGTCGATTTTGAAAATTTGCTATCGTTAAATTTGTTATAGAAAGACGTGAGATATTCGATATTGTTACTATTTCAAATATTTTTCAATAATAACTAAAATATGATCCGTCGAGGTGCATTACTAAAATCGGTTGATTGTTGGTGTATAAATCACTTGTGAAGCTATTTTATCCATAATATTATGGCCGTATGATAAAGTTCATTGATGCGCATTGCGCTTAAAAAGAGCATATTTCGAGAGAACGACACCAGGCACCACTGGCGGGGTAACAGCATTAGTAAATGGATTGACAAACAGGAGGTGGCTAGTTTATGTGTGCCGTATCGCGACTGAGTGGACTTTCCAGTGAAATATGGAAAAGAATAGGAACCCTCATTATGGGAGAGTTTCACGAAATATACTCAGGTTTAGAATACGTCCTGCGGTGTTATCCTGATATCCTGTGTTGATATGGTGCCTGGTCGTTGGAGACAGTGATAAAGTAAGTGACAATGAAAAGCAATTATTGAGAGGTAAAACTTTTTCTAGTAAGTAAACTAAGAGGTCTTTCGACCCGAAGTATGTGATATTTAGTAGAACAGCATGTGCCACCATGTTATTGACGTATAGTGATGAAAAGAAAAGCGAAATAAAAACTTTTTCAAATACAGCTCGTTGAATATGTTTATAATTTGGCTACTTCGAGAAAGTGTATGGGGCTGAGATGATAATGTAAAATTTTCCGTCCTTCTAGAATTTTTGAGAGCTTCAGTACATTTGATGGAGCTCGAGGAAGAGGCGCTATAGAAGCTATAGCGAAGTCGGTATTTTATTGCAGCGTCAAAGTTTCAGACGCGAGAGATACGCGTCCATAGATTTAAGAAGTCATTTCGAAAATGCATGTCTCAGAGGGTATGTATAAAATCACCGCTCCAAAACTGACTGTAATAAATATATAAATCTGTCCGCGAGAGAATGTATGATGCAAAAATCGAAAAATGTATGTTTGAATAAAATGTAAACGACCGACACACTCCCATTTTAAAAGGTCTTGCGCCACCAGGCTAGCTTCACGCAGCTTACGGCCAAAATCCCAATGAATCTGAGTGACGCCGATTAGCAAGGTTGTGCAACTTAGCGAACTTGCTGTATTTATTACTGTTTCAATTCTGTCATAATATATATAGCAGCACATCAATAACACACGATGTCAATAAGGCATATAAATGCTTGATACACGTGGATCATACTTCGTGGGATAATATCTATAAATGTTTTGTATAGGCTTATACGTATCATGGATTCATGAGATATCTACGAAAATGAAAGCATATCGACTGTTAGAACTGGAAAACAATTGCTATACCTGGAAAGTAAAACCCGCATCTACGTTGATTAGGTCGACGATAAGGAACGGTAATGTGGATTAATCGTCCGACAAAATAATAATAAAATCTTAGGTTGCATAAATTTCGCAATAATATGTAATACAAGAGAGCTATGCTCAAATATATGGCCACATAACTTTGATGACGTCATAGCAAAAAATAAAAGTACGGTAATAGCCTTCTGGAAAAAAATCCAGCTCTAACCACTGAAAATTTCAAAGCAATTGGTCAGGAGGGGGAATAGGGGGTGCGCACTTCCAATACGTCGATAATATCTTTGTCGACCAATTTGCGATCACCGAGTTTTTGTCTGTTTAATTGCTGTGATGACTGATGAGGTGCTTTGTTTATAATTTGACGAGTTTTGTTTGAAATACAAAAATAACCTATTCGTAAAATGTATGACGGTCAGGAATGCACTTAGAAGCCCAAATTTTTCACGCATAGCAGCGTATGCTCTAGTCTCGACGCAGAAGAAACGATGTTCAAGGCTTGAAAAGGCGTGGTCGCACACTGTTCGGTCGCAAATACATCTCATCAGTGTCGAACTTTGGTGGTTTGTATAGCTTTAACCCCTGGTCGTAGAAAGTTAATTCGAGGTTTAGCATGTAGAATAAATGTAAATGCCAATGCACCTACGGTGAAAAAATTAACGAGTTAGAAAAAAAATTGGTTTTTGTTTTATAGCGGTTTGAATGAAATCGTCCGCAGATTGGCTACACCGCCCTAGGCCTGGTGAGTGAGTTGTCCATGTAGTCCAGGCCTGCACAACATACGGCCAGCGAAGCCTTTTATTGCGGCCCTCAAAATGGTTTCATGTGATATTATTATTGCTAAGGAAAATTTGTTTTTAGCAATATATGTTTGTGTATTTGTATTGTGATGCGAGTGTCTGATACTATTGTGTGTATGTACGTAAAACGGGAATCTACGGTGCGTGCGTGTTTGACCAAAGACTCTCAGTTCTCATTAGTTCATTGTGATGAACAATTGGTGGTTTGACAAACATTTCGCTTTCAGTTTATTTGACAGCAGTTAGTTTATTGTGTAGCATGCCGCAGTGTTGCAATGACTGAAAACAAGAAAAAAAAAAGATTGAAACTGAGGGCAGAGTGTTTAACTCAGAATGATCCAATAAATAGTAAACTCAAAAATACTGTGATTAGTTTGCCGAAACGTGGTTTCAGTTTCAAAAGAATATAATCTTAAGACGCCATTTTGAAACCAATCACCCGAACCTCGCTAACCTAAATGCAAATGAAAAGCGACTTGAAGCCGAAAACGAACCAATCGCTCTGAACAAATTCTTTTAAAACTTCCAAGCAATGATAGTGCTACTGCTACCAAAGTTAGCTTCGAAATTTCAAGGGAAATTGCTGCTGCGGGAAAGAGTTTTACTGAAGGAGACTTCATTAAAAAATGCATGTTAAGTGCAGTTTCTTTAATCTGCCCACGTGAGGAAGAAAGAAAAGTTTCAAAACGTAAGTCTTTCAAGCACGACCGTACAACAAAGAATTGAAGATATTTCGGAGAATATAACTAAACAGTTGGGCCACAAAGCAATGGAATTTTTATATTATTTTTTGGCTATTGATACAGCACAGCTTTTGGTGTTTGTAAAAGGTATTGACGATAACTTTGACGCATCTGAGGAGCTTGCTAGTATGCAGTCTATGCAAGGTCGGACTACTGGAAAAGACATCTGCAGCACTATTATAGATTGTGTTACCAAAAAGCTATCTAGTGATTTTGGAAAATTGGTTGGATTGTGCACTGACGGGGCTCCAGCTATGTGCGGAAAAAGAAATGGAGTCGCGGCTTTAATTACCGTCACAATTATGATATTCGTCACTTGATTTTTGAAATACAAATTAAAACAATGGATGTTTGTTTTTATATAATATTTAGTAAAAAATCTATTTTTGATAAATAAACACAAAAGGGACCTCCTGAAGTATGCGCACCAAGATGGCGCACAACCTGAACCAAGGTTGTGTATAAGGTTAGGGTTCAGGTGGTGCGACATCTTGGTGCGCATATTCCAGGAGTACCCACAAAAGACCACTTTCAAGAAAAACATCGTGTTATTCTTTAAAAGAAAATAAATCTAAATCCTGTCTAAATTTCGGGGAAACACAGTAAGAAGTGCTGTACAGTGTACAAAACTGCTATGCGTAAAAAGCCACATGGTTATTCTTTGTGTAGCAAATTTTTGTTCCTTCAAGAAGATCGTAAAAAGGAAACTTTCACAGACTAGAATTTCAATTCAATTTCTTTTGTTTTTTCGAAGATTTACGTATTCGAGTCGCCACTGATCCTAATAACCAGTATAATTAACCAAAGCTTTCTACATTTTTTCACCACCCACTAAGATTCCTTTTGCGACCCATAGTTTGGGAACCGCTGCCCTAGAAGGTTTGAGCGGAAGCCGGCAAATGTGGGTTTTCAATAGTCCAGTTGGTCTGACTCTAAAAAGTTAAAAAACCCTCGGGCTAATCACCTGTTGTAGACTTCCAGTGTGTAAATTGATTCATGAAATTTTGGCTGATCCACTGCAGTCTTTTGTCTCCAGATATTTCAGAGGGATTAGATTTCAGTTTTTTTAAGGTAGGCCACGTTTGTAGTGCTGCTGCATATGCCAAGAAAGGTATTCTGCAGTTTGCAATACTTGGCAGTTGCGACAAATTCAGACATTTCCAAAATCTCAGCAACAGATGCAGAAAGAACCTATAAAGAAAAATTCCCATGGGTTCATCTGTTATTAATGACCTGAATAATGTTGGTAATTTTAGAAAACATAATCATGCTCCAAGTACTTAAATGCTCAATAGGAGATAGATCCAATAAAAAAAACAATAAATTAATATCTAAAACAATATTTTGTGCTATACCTGTGCTGAATATTTAACAGACATTTTTGTCAAGCTGTTGAGTTAAACCAACCCCATGTAACTCCCGATATTTGGTCCCGATGTTGGATTCGCCGTCACGCCCGACTAGGCGCAGACAGATTATTGCTTCTAAAATCATCGTGCGTTTTCCTGTGTTCTGACAGCGTTGTCTCGCGACAAGATTAAGTGAGTGGCTTTATAAATATTCAAATTAGTTGTGCATCAACATTAATAAGGATTTTATTATAGAATGCAGATTACAAAACAAAATAGAAAAGCAATCATTTGAGAGGGAAGGCCCTAGCACTTGAAAGCACGTTGACAAATGACAGTCTGAAGATTTTAAATTCACCTCAAGGCTCCAATGAGTAGATGTCGTAGAGAATCACTTTGTGCTACGATTGTTCAGCATAAAAAGAGTAAGTTGTGAATGTCCTAGGTAGCCAATACAGTAATGATTTGCCAAGGAATGTAAATTTTGATGAGAGAT